TTTGTTACTTATATAAATTATATATGATTTTTAAGTAAAACTATAAGTGACAGACCAAAGCATATCCTGTAGCTAATATATTGGTCTTCTCCTTAACGCTATCTATATTATGTTCTACTCCAACTGGCTGCAATTCCCGTCAACTCTAACTAACCCACATTCCATTCAGTTCTAGGGCATGCTGAATGCTAAAAAAAAATGCTTTACCAACTTTGCAATTAAGTGCAACAGCAACAGCAACAACAACAACGAGGACCGCAATGAGAGTAACATGCAAATAATGCATTATGTAAACATCGAGCAACATTTTACGAGCGGCTGCTGTTGCTGCGGGGCGTGGCTGGGCAGGAAACAATAGCGCCACGGCGTCATCCGCAGACATATGTAAATAACTGTGTCACAGAGCACGAAAGCCAAGCCAGCCAGACAGCGGAGACGGACAGCGGGTAACTTGTCAGCTCGAATGGCTCAGCGCCAATTTTCACCTGTCGGCAAAAGGCGGCACGCTTTTTGTAGCTCTTCTGCTTCCCCTGCTGTTGCTGCTGCTGCTGCTGCTCAAAGAGCAACACCCACACACAGACACGCACATCTTGCAACATTTGTTATTGCTGCAGCTGTTTTTATATCCCGAAAGCTGTTCTTGCTGTTCTTGTTGTTGTGGCTGTCTGTTTATTTTGCTATTTACAATTTTTTTTTCTCTTTTCCGTTTCAAGTTGATTTTTAATTTTTTTTTTTCCTTCTGCTGTTGGTTGTTGTCTTCAACAGTAATTATATGATAATTATGAATGTATTTTCGCACATATTTACACAAGGCATTTAAATGCTGTAAGTGACATGTGGTAAGTAGCAAGTGGCAAGTGGTAAAATGGCAATTGGCAGCGAACTGGCTAAAGCAATTTGTCTGTGACAATTGTGGCAATATTTTTACGACAAATTATGCGAAAATAATGAAAATTTATTAATATTTAAGTAGACAAATCTTTGGCACTTGCTTCAAAGAATTTGCTTGAGCTTAACATTTATTTGAATATATATATAAAATATATATTTTTTTAAAATTTTTTAAAATTTGTTTTCCATCTCTTTTATCTCATCTCTCACGTAAAACGCCGCCAGCTAAATCTCGCATTGCCTTTTCTTTTTATTTTATTTAGCTATTTAGACCACGCCCCCTCGCTGCTACGCCTTCTTGGTGGAGCAATTATTTGCTTGAGCGTTAATTAAATGTGTCCTGCGCAATTAGGAAAAAGTGTGCGCCCCAGAAAGCGAAGCGGCAAATGTAGCAAAGCGATGAAGCAAACGCAAAGTGGAAATGGCAATGGCAATGGAAATGGAAATGGAATGAAAAATGAAAATACAAAATTTGAACGAAATGCGCCACGAAATGCAATTAAGAGCTGACAAAACAATAGCTATGCAAAAAGCGCAAATTAAATGCAACAAATTGTTGCCATTGCTGCGGCTTGTTGCTGTTGTTGTTGCAATGACTGTTATTGCTGTAGCTGTTGCTGTTGCTGTAGCTGTTGCTGTCGCTGGTTTCAATTAGCTAGCCGCAATGGCCAGCGCCCATTTGGACAGACGATTGGATAAACAATTGGACAAACTGGTTCAGAAATCTGAAAAGCGGCATTGGCCCTTTAACAAAAATTCTGTAAATATTTAACAAACTGCACAAAGCCAATTCGTGTTGTTGTTGTTGTTGTTGTCACTGTGTTGTCAGCGCTGCAGCTAGTAAAGCCAAAACACAAACGATATTAGCCATGGTCAGTGCACGAGTCGAGTGAAGTCTTTATTTACCAACACTTGCAAGTGTAGCATACACGTCGAGTACACTGAGAGAAATTTTAGAGTACTGTATTTTTTCAGTAACTACATCGAGTCATTGATAGATTCTAGATCATTTGGAACTATACAAAAATTTTACAATGGGAGAAATTGTAGAGTCAGTAACTACTTGGAGTCACTGATCGGTTGTATATCCATTGGAATTTACGAAAATTTATAGTTTTAGTGATTGAAACGTAAAGTTCATGGGTGATGATTTATTAATAGTAAAGTACACTGAGAGAAATTTTGATTTAGTAATTAAGGAATTAAGGATCAATTACAAGTAGAACAATAAAATATTATAAACAAGAAATTTGAAGCACACTGTAAAAAAAAGTAACAAACTTGTTAACCAATTAAGTAGCTGATGGGAATGAAATGACTGCAATTCTGTAAGTAAATACAGCTGTACCTTCTACTTATTGATTGATAGACAAACTGTTAAAAGATCAACGGAAAACTAAATTAGAAATCATTTAGGTTTTTGTTTAATAATTGTTATTTTATTTATATTTTAATTA